GTACCTCTACTATCTTGGGACGTCAAACTTTGGTACTAGGCCCATGCTTTGTTTTGCTTTTCCTTAAATCCTGCTGGCAACTCCAGCTTAAGCATGGTTAAAAGCTGCTAGTCAGCAGCTAAGTTCAACCTATGCCTGCATCCCATAATTACACCAAACTAGCATATGAAAACTGTGATGAAAAAGCAAAGGAACAGGATGCCAAAATAGGTTAAAATCCTATTTGTTTTCCCCCCAAAATCACAACAAATTCATCTATAAATACTTGGCTCCATCATAAGTTCAAGGGGATGGAGGCTGGCTTTTGGAGAGAGAGAACTATCAAAAGAGAGAAAAGGAAGTTGTGAAACCTTCATAAAAATCCAGATTTCTCATACACAAAAACAAACCTTTGTTCTTCCTTTAGAATCAAAGAGCTTAGCGTTTCCTCTTCCGTTCCTCTTGCTGACTCAAAACATCCAAAGGAAGCCACTCAAAGCTCCAAGCCCACGCTCTAGATTCAAGGTAAGTCTTTCTGACCTTTGCATTTTTTATTCAGAACATCATTAAACATGTAAATACCATAATATTAATGTTGTTTATATCATTGCATGAATTGAAAAACTGTGGATCAGAACTTCTTGATTAAGGCTAGGCTCAGGATTAGGATCAGAACCTCTATAAACAGTTGTGCCTTTATTCTTCTGACTCGTTGTTTGTTAAGAACTGAACAAATTGCTGATGTGCTGATTAAGAGTTAAAATATAACATAGAACTTCTGATTTTCACATGCTGATAACACACAAAACTTCTATGATTTTTTCTCACTGTTAACACACACTGAACTTCTGATTCTCATATGTTGATAACGCACTGAACTGCTAATGTTCACTCATTGGCTCAGCATAATACTGAACTTCTGATGATTCCATCAGTTGTTTTCAAACACTCAGAGTTTCTGATTTTCACATGCTGACAATACAGAACTCCTGACTTTTGGTTCACTGGTTGAACACCACCCAGAACCTCTGTTTTTTTCCTCTAACGTTTTTGCAGGACTTCAGAGTTTACCAATCCAGAACTTCTGATTCCACTGACGTCTCCTGCTGAGTCACATCGCTCTTTGCCTCAGAACTTCTGGTCCTAGTTGTTCTTCTTGTAGCAGCGCGCTGTTTCTATCTTGCATTTATTTTCCTTTTCATCATTTTTAATATTAAAAACATAAAAAAATTTTCCTTTTAGTTTATTTCCTTAAGACAAAAAAAAAACATTTTCTAAACAAGTTCATTTCTCTCTTATATTATACATTTCAATATGGTTGTAATAGTAACTTAGGAGTTATTTTTTACTTGCAACCCCCATTCATAAATTTGTACCCTCATCCCCTAAATATTGTAATAGTGTAGGACTTTATATTTTTGCGCTTTTATTGCTTTCATATATTGTATAGTAATCAGGCGTATATGGCAAGATAAAACCAACAAGTAGATCACCCTAATCAAGACTAAAACGCATGCAATCAAACACACTTGCACACATGCACCCCTAGGGTAATCTCACTTGTTGCCTATAGGAAAATAGTCATGTCCCTCGAACATGGGCGTTTTAGCAAAGACCCTTGATAAAAGATCGTAGTCCCTCGATGTTGCCTTCGATAAACGATCAAGTCCCTAAAATGACATTGTTAAAACATTCCATGGGTTGCCTTCTATGAATATACAAACGTCCCAACACCCGTCCTTTCACATCTAACGATGAGGGCTTCTTACCAAATCAATGGTAAGATAGCAACATCTAAAGGAGGAGGAAAAACATATCTAAGACCTTTGAGTAGGTAGGTTCGCTCTCAGTTACTCGCTTGCTCACAACAAAAACATTTCATACACCTACACTTTCATTTTGAAACATTTTCGAAAAACAACACTTTGTATGCGTTCTTATAGAAACGAGAATCATTACAAAGACACCTTTTTCAAAATCACTTTCAAAAAATACATCTCACAAACACCTCTTTGAACTATTTTCGAAACAAACACTTTGTATGCGTTCTTATAGAAACGAGAACCATTACGAAGTTCCATTTTCAAAATACTTTCTAAAACACACATCACAAGCACATTCAAACAAAAGCAAGTTGATCTAGCAAGTAACTAAGAGCCCATGGAAAACCATGGATGAAAAGGGTGCTAATACCTTCCCTTTTCATAATCTACCTCCCGAACTCAAAAACATCTCTAAAGGTCTTTCCTGTGCTTTTTCACCTTTCCTTATTGGATAAAAGAAAAGTCAGTGGAGACTCTTGCTAAACCGCAACATTTGTGAATACAAAACGCAAAACCTCAAGTTAGTTCTCCCACCGTATCACAAATAGTATTACCAAAAAAGCTCTGGTGGCATGGGATCATATTAATAACCCCATTTTGGCAGGTGGTCTGAACATGACTCTCTTCTGGAGTGGAATAAAGCAACAATTGGTAAACTCCCCTGGAATGTTTGTGAAAAAAAGGGCAGGCTTTGGATTACTTAGATCCATATATGCTACTTAAAAGGCGTGAACCCTACTAGCTTCGCCCCTAGTAGCCACTGTTTTTGGATTCTCAAAGCAATGTTCAAGCATCGTGACACTCTTATGTAGTCTGAAGAATGGAAGGACTTTCATAATACATGTGAATATATAACGAGGAAGATCTATCTTAGGATCAGAGGGATACATCATAAGGTTCCTTGGAGAAAGCTCTTCTATGGGAATTTGGCGAGGCCTAAAGCGAAGTTCATCCTCTGGATGTCTAGCCTGGGTAGATTTCCCACCAAAGATCGGTTGCAGAGATTTGGAGTTGTCACTAATGGTAATTGTATGTTTTGTGGGATGCCAGAAAGTGATAAGCACCTTTTCTTTGAATGTGAGTATACTAAGAAAGTGTGGTAGAATATTCTTAACTCGATAAACATCTCTCATAACCCTCAGGGATGGGATTTAGAGTTGAATTGGATTATTCAGATGACTAGTAGAAAAAGTGTTAAAAACAGTCTCATTTAAATTAATTGTAGCAGAGATTACGTATGCTATTTGGACAACTAGAAACAAGATCATCTTTCAGAGCAAGACTATTGATTCCCACCACAACATGGAAGTGAAAAAACTACATAAATTTTATAATAGAGACTAAAATTGTTTGTCCCGCTTTTGTCTTTTAGTTTTTCTTTGTCTCGTTGTAACCTGTATCATTTTTTATCGACATTCTATTCTTTATCATTTTTGATAATAAAATTATCTTTTATTTCAAAAATAAAAAGTAAAAAAATTCATACTATAAATTATCATATTTTTTATTTCTTAATAAATATAAAATTTAATTACAGTTTTAATCTATCTAATATATTTTATTTGTTAAATTTGTTTTTTATTTTAAATTTAAAAATAACTTTCATCTCATTCTAATTTGTATCCATTAAAAATCAAATTTTGTTAAAAAATAATTTATCATTGCCTATAAGAGCAACAATATGAGAAGAGTTCTAAACAATTTTAATTGAAAAAGAAAGACTATTTTCATACTTCCTCCATTTTTATTTATAGGAAAATTTTAATTTATTAAATTTATTAAATAAATAATGTATTTGATTTATATATTAATTAACTATATTAATTATTCAATAAACTTAAAAAATTAAAACTTACTTATAAAAATGAAGGGAATATACTTCTAAAAATTATCATGAAAATATTGTCGGTCACAAGATTACTGTCCTAGTTAGTATCCATGAGGACATGGGTTCAATAATTATGTGCTATAAAATATTGTTTTTTTTAATTTTAATTTTTTTTTTTAATTTTCCACAAAAATTATCATTTTTAAAAATTAATAAAATAATATTTTTAAAAGTTTCCACAAAAATTATCATAATGTGTTTGATTTATTAGTGAAAGTTTAAATCTTAAAATATTGTTTTTAAAGTCTTAAATTTGAATTCGACTACGTACAAATTACTTACTAAAAAATAAAATTTATTATAATTAAAAATTAATAGAAATAACGTGAAATTAATTATTATAAGTCATATTTTTAAAATTTAACTTTTAAAGAGGAGTAAAATCTCAAAAAAAAAACTAAATTTAAGAATACAAAATTTAAAATTTAAAATAGAGAAATAAAAAAAAACTAAAGTTGAAATTACGCTTAATTTTATGCATAGATATATCAGAAAAAATTTAATATAAATTGATTTTTTTTCTAAATTTAGAACTAATCGTATATTATTTTTAAAAAAAAATTAAAAAAAGATTAATTAATATGCATTTTCTATTTGATTTTTTTTACATTATTAATACATCACAGTCGCTCTTGTATAATATTTTAAATGTAATTAAAATAAAAATAGAACAATCATTTATATTTGATGGTTATGATTGTAACGGTGTATAATTTATTTATATTATTGGTATATATCAATTAAATTCTTTTTAAAATATATTAACAGTATAAAAATATTTATGATTTAAAATATTTAATTCTTATTTTAACTTTTTTATAAATAATATATTTAAAAATAATTATGATTTATTGATGTGTAAATTTTTAAGTGCATAACCATTAAAAGCCAATCAATAATCAATAAATGAAATTAAAAGCAAATCAATAATCAATAAAATGATATTTTTTCATTCTATTTTCATGTTACACTTTCCATTGAATTCATTCCACACAAGTCTACATTCTTCCAAAAAAAAAAAAAACAATAAAACGAAATTAAAAGCGAACAAATAGCAGTGTGACGTGGGCAGCGGAAATGTAAACTGTTGGATTAATCGAACGGTTGAAAATAGTGATAAAAAAATACACGATCGCTATAAATTGCACCCACGTTCTTAGTTTAGTTATCGGCGCTTGAAAACCTAAACTAAACCTAGCGACAAAACCTTTTCAGATCTCTGAATTTGAGCCACATCAATCACCAACAACACCAGCTCTCGATCTACCAGAAAAACAGTGCTTCAAATTCAATCCGTAAGTAGGTAATTGATGAAGGTGAGTGTGTGAAACGAGTGATTGAATCTGGATCAATGGGTTATGTAAAACGAGACACACACGAGGAGTCCTCTTTTTTGTCTCGTCTTACATAATCCATTGATCATGATACCCTCCCAATTCATTGTCTCAGTTATTTGAGGTTCTTTTTTATGTTTCTTATGTGACCTTATAGGCTGTTTTTGTTGTTGTTTTGTGTTAGATTCAATAAAGTACTAATGAACTAGTTTGAAATTTCAGATTCTGTGTGTCTGATTTTTCTTTTTCAGGTAAAGAAATGTCACTTCTCAGCTAGTAAGAAAGATGTTTGGAATCTTTACTACTTCTGCAATGCCAAAAAAGGTTTAACTCGATGTCCAAAACGGGCTTTCTGTGTTTCTAGGTTACTATTTGGTTGTGTATAGGAGGTTTAATATTTTGGTTCAATCACTTTATATATGCTTTGTACTGTATTTGTATCTTCATTTATTTAATTATAATTTTATACTATTGATTTGTATCTACATTTTATTTAACTTTTCTAGTATTGCTTTATTTCTCATTAGATGAGTAGTGCTAACAACACTTCTTTTTAATATTCTCATTCTCTCATTTTTTTTATTGATTAAAATATTTGTGGATTTATTGCTTTGAAAATATGTCTCATATAAAGTGAGAGGACTTTCACATATTTTAATCAATAAAAAATTAAAAATATGACTCATAAAAATGATAGGACTCACATTTTAACTAATAAAAAATGAATATTTGAGAGAGTTCAAAAACAGGGTGTACAATTTTTTTTTTGGGTAAGAGAACTATTAGTAGTAATGTGAATGGTTTTTTTTCTCTTCAAAATGTAACTTCGTTTTCTTATAAATTTAATAGTAATAGTAATTTCGCATTCTTTCAAAGAGAAAGACTAAACATAGCCTGTAATTGTTTAATACTATGAATAATTCTTTTACGGCCACACTTTACAAGTATATTGTATCAACCTTTCATCGAAATTTCAGTGGTGTTTTACCATAAACATAAGGTCTTCACTTTATAAAATTGTTTTACCATAAACATAAGGTGTTCACTTTATACATTTATTTGGAACTAAACTAATTCACAATATTGAATATATATTCTTGGGACTCTCCTACCATTCACATTTTGTGGTTAAGAGAGCTTATGGAAAATGCAAAAACATATCTCTCAAAGATAATCAATCACTATCAAACCATTCAAAGAAAGTGACATTGATGATGTGATGTTATGGTTAAGTGATAATAGAGTCCTTAAAAACACTCGAATGGAGACATGTTATTCAAAGGAACAAGCTTTGAATTTCATAAAAAATAATACCAATCCATATGTCTCAATGACCACTCCATTGGAATTCTTTGGGTTCTTCCTAATGATGATGAGAAGCATAAAGTAGGTATGGGTTATGCTATTGGATTAAAGTAGTTAAAGTATTGGGGTCAAGGTATAGTGACTAAAGCATTGAAGATTCTTTTGTCTAAAGTGTTTCAAGAGTTTCATGGTTTGGTAAGGTTAGAGGCTTATACTCTTTTGGATAATAAGGCTTCTCAAAGAGTGTTGGAAAAAGTTGGGTTCCAAAGAGAAGGATTGCTTAGAATTTTTTTTTACCTTAAAGGTAATGTTGGCTTTTTATATTTTTTGTTTTTTTTTGTCTAGTGATGAAATTTCTGATGTTGTTTGATAAGTTATTGTTGGTGATTAATAATAGGTTTGTGTTATTGTATTTACTCTATGGGGCTATGATTTTCAATTTAAGACAAGTTCCGCGGTCTTCTTTGGATTGGTTCTGAAAATTGGTGTTGTTGAAAAATTATTAAAATTTTAAATTTAATTAAAGGAGGTAAGAATGAAATGTATTACACAAAGAAGACAGAGTGCGATATTCCTACAAATATTTTAATATGCAAAATGAAAATATATTAAAAAATCGATTTTTTTTTACCTGCATGCAACTGCTTTGAAATAAAGACACTAGAATGCCACATTTTTCGATGGTTCTAGGTCAAGAAAGGCGTTCAACCATCCTCAGCACTAAAACTCCTGAAACACCTACTATGGCTATGAATTTTAAACCTTACCATAATTCTGAGGGAGCTCATGGTAATGGTAACACCTGCTTCATCAAACACGACTACCTTCCTGGTTATCATTACAAGATTCAGAAGCCTTCGATTAACAATATTGCGGCTTCTCAACCCTCTGAAGATTCCATGGAGTCTGCTCAAGAATCTCAAACCTCTCTTGCTACCATTTAACTTCAATACAATCAAATTATGCAGTTGCTTCAGCAACATCAACCTTCTGCTTCTACAATAGCTTCCTCCGACTCCACTCCTCTTCCCAACATCAATTCAGTCACTTCTCCTTCTGATGGTAAGCCACATGTATATTGGATAATTGATACAGGTGCTACTCATCACATAACTCCTACTTTAACCAATTTTTCCTTTCATTGTCCGGTCCCTTCTGTTCATATGATACCCCCTGATGGTACCATTGTTGTTACCAACATTTATGGTACAACTCATCTATTTAACTTTATCATACTTTTCAATGTTTATTATATTCTAAGTTTCCATGTTAATTTAATCTCTGGAAATAAGTTTATTGACTCTTCTTCTTGCACACTTACTTTTACTAATAAAGCTTGCCTTATTTTGCAGAAAAATTCTATGAAAACGATTGTTTAGCTAAATGCCATGGAGACCTTTATGTGCTTTATGCTTAGGTTATTCCTCCCCTATCCTCTTTTCATTGTAATTATGTTTCACACACTCACATCGATATTTGGCATAGACGACTAGGTCACCCCTCCCCTCTTGTTCATAAAACTTTGGCTCAACAATGCCCTAGTATTACTTACAATGTTAATAAAAACTTACCTTTTTCATTCTTGCCATTTATCTAAACAACGCCATTTATCTTATAATGATAGTCTTACTCGTTCTTCCAAACCTTTTGAATTACTTCATGCTGATATTTGGGGGTCCCTATACAACCATCTCCATCACTAATAAGCGTTACTTTCTTACGCTTGTAGACGATTTCACTAGGTTTACTTGGACTATTTTCATGAAACATAAAAGTGAGACTAGGATTCGCCTAATGCATTTCATATCTCTTATTCAAAATCAATTCTCTGTTACTTTAAAATGTTTATGTACTGATAATGGCCCTTAATTCCTCTTAACTGATTTTTATAACTCAAAAGGCCTCTTGCACCAAAGGTCATGTGTTAAATGTCCTCAACAAAATGATATTGTTGAACGTAAACATCAACACATCCTCAACATTGCAGGATCACTCTTTTTTCAGGACAATCTTTTGAAAAATTTATTGCATCTTTCTATTGCATGTGTTGTCCATTTAACTAACCGATTACCTTTCCCTATTATTCAGTTTAACACACCTTATTTCATTTTGTATCACAAAATGCCTGACTTTGATTCTTTAAAATGTTTTGGATGTCTTGCTTATATTTCCACTTTATCTCGTAATCGTTCTAAGTTTAATCCCCACTCCCGTGATTATGTGTTTGTTAAATATCGAACAAGCACAAAAGGTTATTTATTTTATGATTTGTCTTCTAACACCTTGGTTATTTATCGCAATTTTATATTTTATGAGACATGTTCTCCCTTTACAGTTACTCATGATCATCGTCCTTTACCTGCTATACCGACCCTTCAACCCACCAACATAGACTTGGACCCTCTCCTTATACAACATACCTTTCCTCCAGGACCCTCCTCTCCTCATCCTCTAATCCCTAACCACCATCCAAAATCACCTTCTAATCTTAACCCCACCAATCTTCCCACTCCACCTCTTCCCGTACCCGCTCCTACACCCCCTCCTTCACACTCAACTCTTAGAATATCAACTAGACCTAAGAAACAACCCTCTTACCTACATGACTACCACTACAATCTCATCAATAATAAATCTACGATTACACCTTACTCACTTATATAAACTTTTCCCCTTTCCTTTGACCTTACATATAACAAGAGCATCAATAACTACACACATTTCTGCTTATCTGTATCATCTAACCTTGAACCTTCCTCATATTTTAAGGCCTGCAAACATGAGTGTTAGATCCAGGCTATGCAGAAAGAACTTGTTGTCCTTGAACAAACCAATACCAGGACTATTGTTAACCTCTCTCCTAACAAATCCCCCATTGGTTGTAAATGGGTTTACAAGATTAAATATCTTGCTAATGGTGTTATTGACAGGTACAAAGCTAGATTGTTGCAAAGGGCTACAATCAAATGGAGGGTGTTGATTACTTCGACACTTTCTCCCCTGTAGCCAAATTAACCAATGTAAGAACACTCATCTCCTTGGCTTCTATTAAAAATTGGCATCTCGATCAGTTAGATGTCAATAACACCTTTCTACACAGAGACTTACATGAAAAGGTTTATATGACTCTACCTCAAGGCTATAAACCTCTCCATCACTCTTCTAAGGTTTGTAAACATAATAAGATTATTTATGGCCTCAAGCAGGATAGTCAGCAATGGTACTCCAAATTATCTGACACTTTACTTTCTCTTGGTTACCATCACTCACATGCTGATTATTCTCTTTTTACAAAGTTCAATCCCACTAACTTTACTACATTATTAGTTTATGTAGATGATATTGTTCTCACAGGTAATGATTTTTAAGAAATCCAGCATGTTAAACGCCTTTTTCATTCTAAATTTCAAATCAGAGACTTAGGTCCTTTAAGGTATTTTCTTGGACTTGAAGTCGCTCATTCAGCATCAGGTATTTTACTCAATCCACGTAGCTACACCCTTAATTTACTTAGCAAAACATGTATGTTAGCATCAAAACCCTCCTCTACTCCATATAATTCTGCACTCAAACTCCATTGATCTACTTCTCATATATATCACGATCAAACTCAGTATAGACGGCTCATTAGCCAACTAATTTATCTAACTACTACTTGGCTTGATATATCGTTTGTTGTTCAGCCGCTTAGTCAGTTTGTTTCTCAACCTACTGACAACCATTTTAAGGTTGCCATTCAGATACTTCAATATTTAAAAAGCAGTCTTGCTCAAGGACTGTTTTATCAATCCAATTCTGAGTTTATTCTTTTTGGTTTTGCAGGTATTGATTGGGAAACTTTCCCAACCACACGAAGATCAATAACTGGATTTTCTATTTTTCTGGGCAGATCTCTCATTTCGTGGAAATCAAAGAAGAAGAAGACGGTCTCTCGATCAATTTCGGAAGCTGGATATCGAGCTCTTGCTACTTTAACCTGTGAAGTTCAATGGCTACACTATTTATTCAAAGACTTGCACATTTTCTTCACAACTCCAACCTCCATCTATTGTGACAATAGGTCTGTTATATACCTTGCCAACAATCCAACATTTCATGAAAGATCCAAACATATCAATATTGAATGTCATATCATTCGTAAAAAGTTAGAATCGAGTCTCATTAAGCTGATCCCAATACCCTCATCTGCCCAACTTGCAGATTTCTTTACCAAGCTGTTGCCTGCTCCATCTTTTTCTGCTTTCATCTTCAATCTTGGCCTTATGTCACTGCATAGCCTGCTTCAATTTGGTAATAATAATCATAAATGATTATATTGGTTTACCTGTTCTAATATTCTATATGATGGAGAGATCTAATCACATTGGAGGAGAATGATGGATTAGAGAATAAAGCTTTTTCAGATAACATTATCTATAATTAGGGGGAATGGGAAAATTTCCTTCTGGTTTAGTAATTGGATATGAGACCAAGCTTTGAAATTTTCATTTCCTGATGTGTTTTAAGTAGTGGGAAATAAGTTTGCTAGCGTTGGAGAAATGAGGGAATGGATCAACTAGGTTTGGATTTGGATGTGGCAGGAGTGTGTTGAAGAGTTTGTACACGAGTTGGAGCCCAAGCTAAATATTGAGGATGAATTCTTGTGAAAAGTGAATATCTCAGTTGGTTTTATTGTTAGTGCCTGTTATACGTGTCTAGTAATTAAAGATAATACTACTCTTCCTAGCAGGTGTGAATCTAAGTTTGATTAATTTGTGGCAGTGTAGACACGTATAACAAAGAGAGCTTATGGAAAATGCAAAAACATATCTCTCAAAGATAATCAATCACTCTCAAACCATTCAAAGAAAGTGACATTGATGATGTGATGTTATGGTTAAGTGATGACAGAGTCCTTAAAAACACTCGAATGGAGACATGTAATTCAAAGGAACAAGCTTTGAATTTCATAAAAAATAAATGGATTTACCCATCATACCAATCCATATGTCTCAATGACCACTCCATTGGAATTCTTTGGGTTCTTCCTAATGATGATGAGAAGCATAAAGTAGGTATGGGTTATGCTATTGGATTAAAGTAGTTAAAGTATTGGGGTCAAGGTATAGTGACTAAAGCATTGAAGATTCTTTTGTCTAAAGTGTTTCAAGAGTTTCATGGTTTGGTAAGGTTAGAGGCTTATACTCTTTTGGATAATAAGGCTTCTCAAAGAGTGTTGGAAAAAGTTGGGTTCCAAAGAGAAGGATTGCTTAGAATTTTTTTTTACCTTAAAGGTAATGTTGGCTTTTTATATTTTTTGTTTTTTTTTGTCTAGTGATGAAATTTCTGATGTTGTTTGATAAGTTATTGTTGGTGATTAATAATAGGTTTGTGTTATTGTATTTACTCTATGGGGCTATGATTTTCAATTTAAGACACGTTCCGCGGTCTTCTTTGGATTGGTTCTGAAAATTGGTGTTGTTGAAAAATTATTAAAATTTTAAATTTAATTAAAGGAGGTAAGAATGAAATGTATTACACAAAGAAGACAGAGTACGATATTCCTACAAATATTTTAATATGCAAAATGAAAATATATTAAAAAATCGATTTTTTTTTACCTGCATGCAACTGCTTTGAAATAAAAACACTAGAATGCCACATTTTTCGATGGTTCTAGGTCAAGAAAGGCGTTCAACCATCCTCAGCACTAAAACTCCTGAAACACCTACTATGGCTATGAATTTTAAACCTTACCATAATTCTGAGGGAGCTCATGGTAATGGTAACACCTGCTTCATCAAACACGACTACCTTCCTGGTTATCATTACAAGATTCAGAAGCCTTCGATTAATAATATTGCGGCTTCTCAACCCTCTGAAGATTCCATGGAGTCTGCTCAAGAATCTCAAACCTCTCTTGCTACCATTTAACTTCAATACAATCAAATTATGCAGTTGCTTT